AGCAGGCGGGGCGGGAGCAGGCGGCGGCGCCGCCAGCACGGCCACGGCCGTGCGGAGGAGGCCCTCGCCGCGCGCAGCAGGCGCACCGCGTCGCGGCCGCCTGCGGGGGCGCGGGCCGCCAGCCCAGCGGCGGCGTGGACCGCGAGGAGCGCGCCGCGCGCGCCCTCGAGCGGTGCCGCGCGGGCAGCCATCGCCGTACCAGGCGTCGGCGCGTCGGCGGCGGGGCCAGCAGCGAGCGCGCGTGAGCCAAAAGAGGAGGAGGAGGAGGAGGAGGAGGAGGAGGAGGAGGAGGAGGAGGAGGAGGAGGAGGAGGAGGAGGAGGGGGAGAAGGAGGGGAACGAGCACCGGGTGGCCAGGACGGGGCGGCAGTCACGGAGGAGGGGAGGGAGGAGGGAGAAGAACGGCGGAAGAGGGGAGGACGACACCATCCAGAGGCCACGAATGGGGGACCACATGCGAACCCCACCCCTACCCCCCACGATTTCCGAGGGGGAGGGTGGGGTTCACTTCGGTAGAGGGAAACAATTACTGAACACTCCCCCTCCCCCCCAAACTCAATGTTGGCACGCGCGGGGGAGACTGCGGCCGAAGTGCATCTCATCGAACCCACCGCCAACTTTGAACATTGGGGGGAGGGGGAGGCGTTGACGGATGAATGTGGCATGTATTCGCTAATTTGTTCCGAGGCCTGTGGGTGCGTTGCCCGGCGCGTATGTATGTATGTATGTACGTATACATGTATGTGTATATAAATAAATAGGTATACAAATGTATGTATATAATATAGATAAACACATATGTATGCACACATGTATATATATATATATACATATATACGTATATATCATCGAAGTCTCGCAGACATCCTTGCCCGCAGAATCGCTCGGCCAACTCGGGGCGACCTGGGCGCCAGAACATGGGGAAAAATGTGATATACACACATATGCGTATGTATATATGTATATATATATATATATATACATATATATATGTGTATGTGTGTATGTACACGTGCATTTACATATATTTGTATATGCATGCATATACATATGCATATGTTTGGGTATATGTATATACGTATAAACGTATATATGTACATGTATATATATAGCATCATCAGCATCAGCATCAGCATCAGCATCAGCATCAGCATCATCATCATCATCATCATCATCATCATCAGCATCATCGTCATCGTCATCATCATCATCATCATCATCATCATCATCATCATCATCATCATCATCATCATCATCATCATGGTATCGCAGAAACCCTCACCCGCATAATCGCTCGGCCAACTCGTAAATGACGGGGTAAACTAAAACATGAGACGGTAGAGGGAACCAATTACTGAACACTCCCCCTCCCCCCAAACTCATTGTTGGCACGCGCGGGGGAGACTGCGGCCGAAGTGCATCTCATCAGACCCACCGCCAACTTTGAACATTGGGGGGAGGGGGAGGCGTTGACGGATGAATGTGACATGTATTCGCTAATTTGTTCCGAGGCCTGTTCGTCTAGGAGCTCCCGAGCGAAGTGAACCCCACCCTCCCCCTCAGAAATCGGGGGGGGGGTAGGGTTCGCATGTGGCCCCCTAGCAACTACCAAGGCGTCACGCTTGCGCTCCACGCCGCGTGCTCGCGAGCCTTAGAAAGCCGACGCTGGCGTCGCGGAGTGTATCAACGATGGTGCAAGCACCCTCCAATCCCAAGCCCTCTTCTCGTAAGTCCCCACAAAGATTCCGTTCCAGTGCGGGAGACGCCCCTTTCGCAGACGAAGCCCCCCTGGGCCTGCCATTCAGACGAGACCCCAGCTTGTCAAGGATTGGCATCCCATCCTTCTAGCTAAAACCCAAGGGCATGTCCAGGGGTAGCTCCGTGTTGAAAAGATGCGCCGTGCATCCCAGTAGGTGTTGCACAACTCCAAAGTTTGCCAGCGTTAGGAAGGCACCAACTATACACCAACACCGATCCTGGGCCAGGATCGGTGTTGGTGTATAGTTGGTGCCCTCCGAAGCGTGCCCTAAGCGAGAGGGGCCTCTCTGTCTCGCGGGCCACAACATCCGAACAGGTCTCGAGCGCGAGCCCCATTCTGAAGAGGGCCTGCCCTTCATCCGTGCACCTGCTGATGTTCAAGACAGCGTCCGCGCGGCACAGAGGCGAAATCCCAGTTTCAGCTGCTTAGCTTGACGCTGTGGAGGCAATGCGCGTCGCGCTGAGGTCGGAGGCGACCGAGCCTCCATTCTTCACGAGTGCGCGTGGAGGGAAGGCGAGGGCCACACGTTCGAGCGACTGGCCCGCTACCCTTGTAGTTGCTGGATTGTGTAAAGCCTCCAGGACAAAAAAAAAAAAAACAAAAAAACCTGGAGAAGGACGCAACGCGAGGGGTGCGACCAAAGGAGGGAGTGGAACCGAATGCGGACCCTGCCACTGGGGCCTGCGATGGACGGGGATACGAAACGTATGAGGGGGTGCGCCGAAATGGGGGGTGGAACCGACTGCGGACCCTGCCACTGGGGCCTTCGGTGGAGCTCCCGATGGGGTCACGAAACATGCGACGGATGCACCGAAATTATGTGTGGAACCGCATGCGGATCCTGTGCATCGGTAGAGAATCCTACGGAGTCACGAAACGTGTGAAGGGTGCGCTGAAATAAAGGGTGGAACTGCATGCGGACCTTGCCACCCAGGCCTCCGGAGGAGCTCCATTCGAGGCCACGAAACGTGTGAGGGGTACGCCGAAATCGGGGGTGGAAACGCATGCGGACCCTGGGGGTGGAACCGCATGCGGACCCTACCACAAGGGCCTTTGGTGGAGCTCCCTATGGGGCCATGAAACAAGTGTGCGCACAATGCGGGGTGGAACTGCGTGCGGACCGTACCACTGGGGCCTTCGGTGGAGCTCCACCGAAGGCTCCCCATGGCCCATGGCCTTCACACGGTTCGAGGCCCCATGGGCCATGGGGCCTCGAACCGTGTGAGGGGTGTGCCGAGATGGGGTATGAAACTGCATGCGGACCCTGCCACTGGAGCCTTCGGCGGAGCTCCGTATGCGGCCACGAAACGTATGAGGGGGGCGACGAGATGGGGGATGGAACCGCCTGCGCACTCTACCGCTGGAGCCTTCGGTGGAGCGCCCTGTAGGGCCACGAAACGTGCAAGGGTTGAGCCGAAATGGGGGGTGGAACTGCATGCTGACCCTACTAGTGGTGCCTTCGGTGGCGCTCCCTAGGGGGCCACGAAACGTGTGAGAAGTGTGCAGAAATTGGCGGTGGAGCCGCATGCGGACCCTGCAATTGTGGCCTTCGGTGAAGCTCAGCATGGGGCCACGAAACGTGTGAAGGGTGTGCCGGGCCAGGGACATGCGGAGGGCAGATGCAGGGATGGGGGGAAGGAAGAGGGAGCGTGAGGAGGAGGGGGAGGAGGAGTGAGGAAGGAGGACGCCCGGAGCTGTCTCCTCAAAACGAGGACCCGGCACCACAGGATAGCTGGACGAAAACAAAGTGCAGAGAAGTCTCCAGCGAAGCACCTGGCCCGTCCTGCGGGCGCGTCTGGTGGTGCCACGGGGGGAAGTTGTCTTGGAGGAATCAAGAGACGCTAGGAGCAGGGACCTGCCCCCCCCCGGACAAGGAGAAGGGGCAAGAAGGAGGGGCAAGGAGGGGCAAGGAGGGCCGTCGCCGAGCCAGGCGAGCTGGCCGTCCCCTTTGGTGGTGAGCCTTGGCACCTGAACGATAATGTGGATCATCTGGCGATTCACTTGGATTCGTGTGTTCGACATGTGTTTACCTTCGCTTCCCTAGAGAAGCGTCAGGGTGATCGTGCCGAATAGAGTGGCAGGGGAAGGTCGCGCTGGGGACTGGCGGTTGGGGAACGAGGCAAGGAAAGGCGATGGACAATGAGGCGGAGGAAGACAACGAGACACGGCAGCGCCCGTGAGTACACTTACGTCCGTATATGTCACACAGCCACCTGGGAACACCTAGGACTTTGAACGCCAGACATCATGCGAGCACGGAGTCTGTGAGCACAACGACACCTGTCAGCAACACAACGCCTGTGAGTAGCCCCCTAGTCTATGGAAACAAGCAGCCAGTGCCTTTGGAGACCACGTGGCCCTACCACACAACATGCATGTATTAACACCGACAGGCTGGTGAGAACATAGGACGTCCGCATTCCCTGCACACTAACGCGTCGCCTGCGAGCCTCAGCGCCTGCAAGAACAGGAACAAAACAAGGTTTTAAACACCGTAAGGCTCCAGGATATCACAAGGCCGGATGTCACAAGGATATCACGGTGCCGCTGGGCGCTGGTACACAAGACGGGCATACAACCACCGCCAAGGGCATGCGAAACCGTCTGGCAACGGCGCTCCTGCCCGCGCGTCACGGGCGGGGGGGGGCCCTCCGCCAGTGCCCAGGCAGTTACACAACAACGAAGGCAGGAAAGGCGAGAGGCAGTGGGGGTAGCGGGCGTCGGCCCGGCGGTTGGCCACGAGCATCTCAATCAAGCAAGGCCTCGAGCGAGCAGAGAGGCGGTTCGTTGAGTAGCTTGTGCGGCGTGCTGGGTCGCGCAGCGTGCCTCCCTGTCCCAGGGCCTCCGGCGCCGAATTCTTCACGGCGTGGGCCCCGAGAAGTATCAACCCCGTTCACTGGACCGAGCTCTCAATCTCGGGAGCGGCCAAGAGGGGGGTGTCCAAGAGGGGGGGTGCAAATCATGACCGGCGGCATGTGCGCGGCCCAGCGGGGGGGCCAGGGACGTAATGGAATAAGAAGAGGCGCCATGAAATCTGAGGAAATATCATGGCCCCCGCCATGATATCCACCCCCCCTAGTCATCACCCCCCTCTTTGCCGCTCCCGACAATCGTGGGTTGTCCCGCACCTGCCCAAAGAGGCCGAACTGGCGGATACAGCAAACGCCCGTCGTGATTGCTTGTTTTGTGTCGCCCGCAGGTCTGGGTCTGCCTGTCCGCCTCATGCGGCGGGACGCGGCGGCCTCGAAGTCCGACTGAACCATCGCGTCCTTCTCCTCCTTTGGCTTCTTTTCCTCTTTCTTCTCCTCCGCTTTCACGTCCTCGGTTCTGGGAGCAACGGCGTCGACTAACAAAACCAGAGCTGTTACAGGTGATACTAGCACGTGGTACGTATGTGGAACGTGGAACTCTGCGCACGTCAATCGCCAGGGATCGGGGCTGAGGAGGCGGAGGAGGAAGAGCAAGATGCCAGGAAATGAACGGGCCCTCATGCCGTGAGCGTCGCGAGTGGCGAGAAGGGGGAGGGGAGCCTTCCGCTTGCCCGCCCTTCCCACCGAGGCCCCCGCTAGCTGGGGTCTCTCTCCCCGCGGCCGCGTTGCGGCTGGGCCGCCGATGCACCACAACCACCCGTTTATTCCCTTGCCCCGTGCCCCCCCTGGTCCTTGTGCTGCTCCTCATCGCGATCCTCCTCCTCCTTCTCCTCCTCCTCCTCCTCCTCAGCAGTAGCATATCCTCCTCCTCCTCCTCCTCCTCCTCCTCCTCCTCCTCCTCATCATCATCATCATCATCATCATCATCAGCATCATCATCATCAGCAGCATCATGATCATGATCATCATCAGCATCGTCATCATCATCATCATCATCAGCATCAGCATCATCATCAGCAGCAGCATCAGCAGCATCACCATCATCGTCATCATCATCATAATCGTCATCAGCATCATCATCACCATCATCACCATCATCATCAGCATCATCAGCATCATCATGATCATCAGCATCACCATCATCACCACCACCATCATCATCAGCATCATCATCATCAGCCTACTGATCATGATCCTCCCATCTCTCCTGCGATTGCTACTGCTGCTGCTGCTGCTGCTGCTGCTGCTGCTGCTGCTGCTGCTGCTACTGCTTCACACCCCATCTGCTAGCCTAGGTCGTGCTCGATCATTGAATGGTGCTGCAACTCGTCCTCCTGCCACCCCAACCACCCCTCGATGCCCCCTGCAGCCTGCTCCCTCCCTCATCCCTGCTCATCATCTATCATCATGGCACCCTCTGCTCCCCCCGTAGCCCAATCCTGCTCCTCATCCTCCTCATCCTCCTCATCCTCCTTCTGCTCATGATGTAGCTCCTCCTACCCCTGCCTCTGATTATGCTCCTCCTCCTCGCCCTATTTTGGCTCCTGCTGTTCCTTCTCCCCCTCCTCCCCCTCCTCCTCCTCCTCCTCCTCTTCCTCCTCCTCCTCCTCCTCCTCCTCCTCCTCCTCCTCCTACTCCTCCTCCTCCTCCTCCACTATCCCACCTTGTCCTCCTCCCCCATATCATCCTCTTGCTCCGCCTCCTCATCCTCCTCCTCTTCCTCCACCCCCCACCCAGTCCTCCAAGTCCTCCAACTTCTGCTTGTGATGCTCATCCGCCTCTTGCTGATCCTTGTCCTGATGTTGGTGCTCCTGATCTGGCTGCTCATCCAGCGACTTCTAGTCCAGCTCTGGCACTTGCTGCTCCTCATTCTGCTCCTCCTGCTCCTGATCCTGCTCCCCCCCTCCTGACTCATTGTTTACTCATTGTTTCTTGCTTCCCCCTCTGAGCCTGGCGCATGTCAAGTCTCGCCTCCCTCCCTCCTTCCCTTCCTCCCTCCCTCCCTCCCTCCTCCTCCTTCTCCCTCCTCCCTCCTCCCTCCTCCTCCCTCCTCCTCCCTCCTCCTCCTCCTCGCTCGTCGCACTCCTCCTCTTCTTCCGCCTCCCTCCTCGCCCTCCTCCCTTGGCCCACGCGTCCTTGCCGTCTTCGCCGCCGGCGGCGGGAGCAGCCGGCGCTTCTGCGGGAGCCTGGCCCTTGCCGGAGTTCAGCAGTACTGCCGGGATCACGTCCTCCGGCGGGAGGCCTCGCCCCTCATCCCTCTTCCCTCCTCCCTCCTCCTCCTCCTCCTCCTCCTCCTCCCCGGCATCCTCCCCCTGCACCGCGCCTCATTTCCTGAGTGGCACTCGTCGTCGCACCACCAGACGTGTCGGTTGAGCGGGTCTGGAGTCTCCAGTGCCAGACTCTCGCACGAGTTTTCGTAGCGAAGCTTGAGGGCCCCAACATAGGAACAAGGAAAGGCGACACCAACACCAACAGGGCGAGGAGATGCGAGGAGGCAAGGGGGAACTCTTTGGTGGTGTGGTCCCCCCCTGTCGCTCGAGGCATCCCCAGCCTCCAGCTCGGAGAGGCATCGTGGCCCTCCTCGCTGGCGGTGGGCCCCCTGGTGGTGTTGGTATCGCTCCCCCCCCCCTTTCCGACAACAGCTACACGGAAGGAGGGCGGTTGGTTTGGGGAAATGTGGCTCTCGCCCGATCGCTCGGCGCCCTCTCGCCCGGAACATGTCCATCGGCGGCGCCACTGCAGGGCGAGCCGTCGCCCAGAAGAGTGTGGCTTTCGCCGCAGGGAGGAGGAGGAGGAGGAGGAGGAGGAGGAGGAGGAGGAGGAGGAGGAGGAGGAGGAGGAGGAGGAGGAGGGGGAGGGGGAGGGGGGGGAGGAGGAGGGGGGAGGGGAGGAGGGGGAGGAGGAGGAGGAGGAGGGGGAGGAGGCGCCATCGAGCTCTCGCCGCAGCACCGCGCACGCTCGCCCCTGGCCACGCCGCAGGTGCACTCGGGCGAGCTTCGAGGTGCCGCTCGAGGCGCCGACGCCCGGGAATGGACCTCGGGCATGGACGGCGAGCGCGTCGGGCCGCAGGGAGTGGCTGGCCAGAACCCGCGGAACGACATGCGAAACGCTCACCCAGAGCTCCCAGCCGCAGCCCTCGCCTCAGCGCCGCGCACAATCGTCATTGCACCGGCCTTGCAGACGTGCTGCAGCGGATTTTTGCGTGTATTTCTGCGTGGGTCTTTTCCCGAAGCGGCGAGCAAAAAACGAAGTGAATTTCGCGTGGATGTTTTTGGTCTTCATTCCTGCCGAAAAATTCGGCGCGAAATTCACCTCGAAATTCAGAACGAAATTCTCCTGGACACTCCGGGCCCATCCCATCGTTTTCCAAACGAAATCCACTCTGCGATGTCGGCGCCATACAATCGTGCACCGCGAGTCCTCAGCGGAGCAGCAGTCATGCACGGCGGGGAGCCGACCATCTCGACTCCCAGAAGGCACCCCGCTTGGGCCAGGTTTCCAAAGCCTGGGACGCTCGAGGGAGAGGACCGGCAGCAGATGCAGGAGGCGACGGGGCAGCAGGAGGAGGCAGGAGAGACAAGTGTTACGTCGGGCCTGTCCCTCCACAGGGGGAATGCTCCCAAATAGCCAAAAGATACATGGGGATGTTTTTTTGTTGTGCAATGTTTGAATACATGTTGAATATGTTGTGGGTATTTTCTATTTTTCGTCCAGAATCCGCCTGTAGGGGGACATGCCCAACCTAAGGCAAGTGCAAGTGTGCGCTCGCCCACCTGCACTTCGGTCGAGAGCTTTGCTTAGCGCGACGCGGCGGCTGCCAAGGTGACACGCTAGGCCCTGCGAGCGGGTAGCGTGTCGCTCCGCTCCGCGGGGCGGAAGGATGAGAAAAGCTAGGGACGCTGACGCTGGGGGATGGGTTCTGCGGTTGCTCATAGGAGCCTCCCATACCATCCTGTCGGTTCTTGCGAATCAGCGCGAATGAACGCTACAGTGCGGGCGCGGCCGCAAGAAACCCTCGCAAGAAACCCAGCCCCGAAAACCCGCGCGCGAGGTTCGCCCGAGGGGAAGCCCAGAGCACCCTGAACGCAGCAGCCTCTGAGACGGCCGCGGGGAGTTGCCGCGCAGCGCGCGGAGCGAAGAATAACAGATGGTTTCTGGATGCGCGCCCCCACTGTATTCGACGCTGAATCGACACTCGTCCACGCTGAACCGGCGTGTCCTCATCGGCCACCGGCAGTGAGAGCGTTCGGGCGAAGCCGGAAATTGACGGTTTGAGTGGCTGGCACGGGCTCTGGGGGGGGGCCCGCTCTCCTTCCCGTCTCCCCCTCTCTCTCTCCCTTGTCTCTCTCTCGCCCCTTTGGAAGGGGCCCCAGGACAACAGGACTCCCCATATTTTCCCATGTTTTCTGGGTGTTTGTCTTCCCCCCCACTTCCCATATTTTCCCATATTTTCCCGATAATCGACGATTAATTGTGTCTGTGTGTTTCTTCCCCTCCCAACCCAACCCGAAGACCCGAATTTCGGGTTGGGGGGGGTAAGGGTTCCACGTGTGTTTTTTCGATGTTTCCCGACCCCCCCCCCACTGGAAATCGAGGGTAAATCTGATCCTTCGGGTTGGGTTGGGGTGGTTTGGTGGGTGGTGACTGATAGCGTTAGGTCGGGCCTGTCCCCCTGCAGTCAACCCGCAGAGTAGGGATGCGCGACAAGGACGCAAGGCCCTCGGACGCCCATCTCGAGGCGTTTCGAGCGGGGCGCGGCCAGCGAAAGTGTCCAAGGATGGGCCCAGGAAGCAAGGATGCAAGGGTACCCTTGGGAGGGATGCCTATCCTTACTCTGCGGGTCGACTGTTCAGGCCGATTTTCGATGAAAATCCTAAACATTCCAGAACGATTCAAAAGTGGTCAAACAAACACTACAAAATAGTCCGCTGACTGATTTGTTTTGACAATTTTTGAATTTTCCCCCTGTAGAGGGACAGGCCCGACTTCAAATTAGCGCGGCGCGGGCTCAGAGGGTCGGCGAGACGCACAGCATGGCTGCAGTCGTGCCGCCGATCATCGGGCTCGTCGCGGCCACCACCCTCAGTCGCTGGGAGTCAGACGAGCCGCTCCGGCGCTCCAAAGTGGCAGCCGATGCAGAGGCTGAAGATATGGGCACCTGATCCCAGACATGGTTCAAAGGCTGGTGCAACGTTACAAAGCCGAGCGAGGAGGAGGAGATGCTGTCCCCCGCTGAGCGTCAGAGGCACGGGAGCTGGGAGCCTCAGGAGGGACCACGGCTTTGCGACCGTGCTTCTGCCGTGGACAGGCTGAGCGCGGCGGCGCTGGAAGCACCTCGTGGTCGAGGACGGCCAGGCGCGGGCAAGGGCAGGGCCCTGCCCAAGCCGCCGGCAGGGCTGCCGGCGGGTGGCAAGGGAAGGGCGAGCCCACAGCCGCGTGAGGTGACAGCGCCCATGTAGGAGCTGCTGGAGGCCGACGAGGTGGACGAGGTGGAGAAGGAGGAGGAGGAGGAGGAGGAGGTAGAGGCGCCTGGAGGAGGTTGTTTCACCCAGCGTCGCGAAGGGGCCAGGGGTGCAGACCCACGCCATCATCCGCCACCCACGCCGTCACAGCCCGACGATGAGGACGGCGATGCTGAGGAACGACGGTGGAGTTCCCAGGATGTGCACCTCACGTTCATCGGCACCTGGATCGACGGCTTCAATGACTAAGGGAACAAACGACTGGCGGCGCCTGTGGCCAGGAGGAGGCGGGCAAACTGGAGGAGCCGTGACCACTGTGGGACGGGTCGCATTCGGAGACTACTGGCCCTTCGTGTCAAGCGGCCTCCTGATCTTGCTGGGGGTCGGGTTAGTCGTCGGGATGGGGTACGGGCTGCACTCCATATGCACCGCGATGGACTAAATGATCGCTGAGCTGGTGAGGTTGATGCTGGCGTGGCCGCTGTGAATCTTCTGGTACTGTCCAGCCACCACGACCCGGAGGAGAAGGAGGAGGAGACGGTATCGTTCCAGAACGGTGTGGTCCATGTACGGCCACCTCAGTCGACGACGCTTTCTACGCTTAGCTGCATGCTCGGGGTGCTAAAGGAAGGGCGCACCACTTGGCCATAAAGGCCGGCGACACCGCAACACGATTTGAGCGACAGGTCCTCAACTCTGGCATGACGCCGAAGCAGTCGGGTTGCACCTGGCAGTGCACCACGATCCTCGGGCCAACCTCTGGGAGACTGAGGAGCTGCTGGAAGCGTCCCAGGAGAAGACGTTCCACTTTTGCCGGGAGGCTCCCTGCATGGACGGGGGAAACTACAGGGGAGCTGGAAAAAGTGGAAGTTGGGAATCCTGAAAACATGGAAGTGGCCAGGGCCAACAAAAAACAACAACGGCTGCGACGAGCACGAATGAGTTGATCTGAGGTCGCCAGGGCTGGACTAAGTGAAGGGAAACCGACCACGGCTGGAAAGAGTGAAAGGGCTGGCCCTGGCCACTTTCCCAGCTTCCTTGTACGCAGTGCAGGTGCCCTCCTACAGTGACGCGGCGGAAGGGACGGACGCCAACCTCGCGTCCTCGGTGGTCGCACCCCCACCCCCGCGCTGGGCAGCGCGCGCGGCGGGATCAGGAGCCTGAGCGTGCAGCCGAGGACGCGGCGCCCTCGGCCGCAAGGGGTGCGTCAAGCTGTGCAGGGCGTTTTTACGCAGTGCGGGCGGACTGGGTGCCGTTCAAGGCTTGACGCGTCGCACTAAGGGACCCGAACTCGAATCGTGCAGCCGAGGACGCGGCGCCACGGGCCTCAAGGGGTGCGTCAAGCTGTGCGGGGCTTTGTTTGCGCAACGCTGGCGGACTGGATGCCGTTCGAGGCGTGCCGTGTCGCACCCGCCCGCGGGGTTGCTGGGGGACCCGAACTCGGAGTCGCGCAGCCGAGGACGCGGCGGCCTCGGCCTCAGGGGGTGCGTCAAGCTGTGCGGGGCGTTTTTGCGCAGTGCTGGCGGACTGGATGCCGTTCGAGGCGTACCGTGTCGCACCCACCCGCGGAATTGCGGAGGGACCCGAACACGGAGTCGCGCAGCCGAGGACGCGGCGCCCTCGGCCGCAAGGGGCGCGTCAAGCTGTGCGGGGCGTCTTCTTGGTTGGGCGCAGCGCGGGCGGAATGGATGCCGTTCGAGGCGTGCCGTGTCGGGCCCACCCGCGGGGTTGCTGAGCGACCCGAATTCGGAGCCGCGCAGCCGAGG